CTACGCTGGCTAGCACTACAGATGAAAGGTACTTGGGGGCCATGATTGACCACAAGATGAACATGAGTCATCAGTGTGATGCTGCAGCTAGTAAAATGGGCAAAATGCTGGCTTGCATCCATAGATGCTTCTCAGGCAAATCCCAGGATGTCATTCTCCTGTTGTACTTGGCCTTGATCAGGCCACAGCTGGAGTACTGCATCCAATTCTATGCTCCTCAATTCAAGAAGGATGTGGAGAAGCTTGAGAGAGTCCAGAGGAGAGCCATACACATGATCAGAGGTTAGGAAAACAGACCTTATGATGAGAGACTGAGAGTTATGGGACTCTTCAGCCTGGAAAAGCACATGTTCAGGGGTGATCTGGTGGCTGCCTATAAATTTATAAGGGGTGCTCACCAGGATCTGGGGGAACGTCTGTTCACCAGAGCGCTCCAAGGGATGACAAGGTCAAATGGTCTCAAATTCCTCCATGACTGATTCAGGTTGGACATAAGGAAGAACTTCTTTACTGTCTGAGCCCCCAAGGTTTGGAAAAGACTGCCGCCGGAGGTGGTTCAAGCACCTACTTTGAACACCTTCAAGAGAAATTTGGATGTTTATCTTGCTGGGATCCTATGACCCCTGCTGAGTTCCTGCCCCTGGGGCAGGGGGCTGGACTCGAAGATCTTCCGAGGTCTCTTCCAGCCCTAATGTCTATGAAATCTATGACCTTCCCCTCTTCCTCTCCCAGCACCCACTCTCCTCCCCACTTGGTATTTACCAGGCATGCTTTTCCCATGCATAATAAATAGCAAATTCCTAAATTACTCAGATATTGCTCAAGCTGAATCAAATAAAAATGAAAATGATCTTACAGAGAAATGATGGTAAAGTCCAGACTCTACCCAGATGGCATCATACTTGCTTTCAGAGCTTAAAACAAATCTGGGCTCTCAGTACTGAAGGCCATTGCCTTCAGGGCAAACCACATACAAGCCCTGACTCCCTGGACAAAGACCATCGTCATCAGCAAAATATTTATATTCACCAATCTATTTGGGGAAAAATATGTAAGTGGGATCCTTGGATAAGGATGCTGGCTCGAGTTTCATTTGTAGTTCCTCAGTTGATCCCAGATGTCCCTTCTCCTTCTCATGCCAATGTTATTTCAGGATATCAATGACTCTTTCCAATAAGCCTGATTTTTCAAGGGTGGCACTTTTTTGCTCTGCTCCATCAGGACCTGACAGTAGTGAGCATTAGAGCTGGTCAATAAATGATTTTTTTTCCTGTGAAAAATGTCAATGAAGACAAATATATTTTTTCTAATATTTCTTTGCAGTTTGTTAGATGTTTACTAAAAAAACAAACCTAGTAACCAAAAATTCACAAAACTCTAAATTTCAGTTTTTGGATATAAAGTCAACAATTTTGATGAAAATGGAATATACATTGGTTAAAATGTCATTTGATCAAAAAGACAACCCAGTATATTACCCTCTTTAAGAGAAGTATGACCAGGTTCAGCAACATGAGTGAAAACCATGTAAAGGAAGATTGGATATCATGGGGATAGGCACCTTGGGAAGTCATAGGCCAGTGGCATTAGAGTAGCTAGGATTAAAGTTTTGGAAAAAGATGTGGCTTCTCCTTTCTTTCTGAGTTATTTGCAGGATGAAAAGGTTGGAGAGCTTTCAACATTGCACTCAATGAACAATTCCAGGAGGTGAGTGATGGCTTTCCAGGAAGGCTTCCATCATCAACCCACAGTCTCAGATTGCTGCAGCTTGGGAAGAGTGTTTTCTAGCCAGCTACAGAGTTGGGAGGAAGAGGGAAGAACTGTGGGTTCAGGGGCTAAAATAAAGGGTAGTGGTATGGTGGGAGTATGCCCTCACCTTGGTATGCCAAATCGCAAAGCTTTCCAGTGGTTCCCCCTCCTCTGCCCAGCTTGGACCTCCCCTGGAACTTCCCCTCCTCTTTGGATGCTAAAGTGAGAGCACCTGTTCTGTTTCAATCTACTTTATCCACAGGCACATATGTGAGTGGGTCTATGATATGAAGGGGAATGGCACTGATGTCACAAAAGCAGCAGAGTTCCATGTAGCAAGTGTAGAATCCAGAATGGGAGAAGATTCCTGGATGAGATCTGTGTGTGCATGTACATCATACGTGTTTCCTCTGGGGCTGAGATATAGTGGCTTGGACATCACCTGGAACCAGAAGCGTCATTTGTTCTCCTCTGGTTTGGCCTCACTGACTTTGGCCTGCCAGTTGTGGTGAGTATCTTTTAATTTACTTGGTCTAGAGATAGTTTTATGAAGTTGTTGAGTCAGTGGTATTTTAGGGAGGGTAACCATCCTTGCTGTGCAATATGATGCTCTTGTTTTTCTCTGGTAAAAGAAACACAGCTGTAACATAGAATTATGTGGGGGTTGGTGGGTGGGTGGATGTTCTCAGTGTGTGTGTGTGTTGTGTGCAGGCATATGACAATGATTTTGGGGGGCCTATAAATAAAGCTTTCTAGAAGGCATGCCTAGGTAGAAGCCAGGACTTTGCCAGAGAGCCAATGGCTTGCCTTGAGGAGAGTGAAACAAAGCTTGAAGGAGGTTTGTCTCAACAGACCATTTTCCACTTTTGCTGCTGAGTGATTAATGGGCTGTGCTGAGTAAATAACATGCAATGATAAGTGCTTTTCTGACACTGCAACCAGCTCCAAGGCACAAAGAACCAGGACCATGAAAGGGCATCATCTTCGGAACTTAGCAACACTATCAAGCATGCCAGGGCTAAAAATTAGATCCACCAGCTGGTGGATGAACACATGACAGCTGTCCTCTTCCCTAGCACTCCATTCTTGTGATCAGTCAGCAGGAGATTGAAATAC